ATAAATAAAAAGCAATATATACTAATATATATTGCTTATATATATATTATATATATTATATATTACAATATATAAGCAATATACTAAAAGTAAATGTATATTAACTAAAAGATCCTAAACTAAACAAAAATAAACTAATCTAACAAAATAAATACTTAAATACACACATGATTTTATACAATATTTATAATATTCATTCACTCAAGATCTTCGAGGCTAGCCTTTCCCCACACTCATGGAGGGAAAGGCAGGACTCTCGGAGATCCCAGCATCTTTCACTCAGCCGCATCTCTGGTATTACCAATGGAGGCTGAGAAGAGACACTATAACCAGACATACATGGCTTGAGTAGTGGCTGAGTGAGAACGGCGAAACTATGTAAAATAAAACTACTAGCCGGTGTTTAATATTTTCGTTTATTTGAATAAGTAATGTCTTCTATGAAGAAGAAGTATAATACCTTTTTATCTTTATAAAAATTTATTCTTCCGAATAATCTGCATTTGAAAGATCCATTTTTTTTCTTCGTAGTCAAATGACTCAGTTTTTTTTTACTAATTTGATTCTCTCGCCCCCTCATTCTTCAGAGTTAAATATACCCGACCTAATTCATCATAAACAGCGTCCTCCATAAAAAATTCCAAGACTGGAAGAGATCTCAACAAATGACAATCAAGTTGGAAGAGTAGAGGGCCTCCAACGGGAAGGCAAATGCAAAAAGTTGTCCCCCTGACGTCACCGGAGTGAGCTATCTTTATCCGTTGACGAGGAAAGTTTGGGGGGGGGGAGGGTTGGGAACGGGGGCTGTCAAACAATTTTAAATATTACCGTCTCTCCGTGTACCCAACCCGAATCTCATCATTTCCTCAGCCTCATATATCTTATTTACTATTTTGTATAATAATAAATATAACGCAATTAAGATTTTATAAAAGTTTTATAAAATTAAGTTCTTTTAAATTGACAACTTATGGTAGTTGAGTAGTTAAAACCATTCCTGAAACCAAAAAAAATTAAAGAATTGTTAGAAAGTATGAGCTAATGATATGTTTTTTAAATAAAAACCTCTTTAGGAGCTACTTAGCAATTTTTTTTTGTGGGTACGTTTGATGGCTTTGAAACGCAGGATTCGGTATAGGATCCAAAGAGTTTGTTGTTCGACATTGTTTGTTTACAAACTTCCCGTCCGGTATGAGTAATTGTTTCTGCGTTAAGTACGTCATTTATTTAGGCTATAAGTCTTATACGTCATTTATAAGACTATCGGGTTTATAAAATGACTCTGTACTTTAGAAGCGTAAGTAGCGTCTATAGAAGTAACTATAAATGTTAGTCTATCCGGACGGCAGCGCAGGGACAAACTTTACAGATGAGATAAGAGATACACAAGACAGTTCTTACGAGCAGATTTACTTACTTATTTTTAAGGGAAAAAAAAACTTTCTTATTAGAGTAGAGTATGTGGCTAAAGTGCTCTCGATCAATCTCCGGTGGCTTTAGCACCAGTGACGCGGTTGAGAGAGTAGCGCAGGGTTCTCCTGGAGTTCCCTCGCCTGATTGTAAATAGTGTATATAGATATGCATGTGTTTTTTGCTTAGTTATAATTTTCTTATTTTTAGGTCATTTTATTTTATTTATTGTGTATACTTTTTAATTATTATTTATTGTTAGTGTTCTTCTATTTATTTTATATGTTTTGTATAAAAAAATTTGTATAAAAAAAATAGAGTAGAATGTGCACTGTTTAGATCAGATTGTGGAGACAAAGCAGTTTATACTTACGCCGAACTATTCTTCTTTATTTGAATAGTTTAAAACATCTTAGTAAAAAGTAAACATTATTAATATACAGCTATCGAACTAAAGGCGCATTTTGTCAAATTAATTATTTTTAGTGGTTTGTCTTTTAAGCGATCACATCTGGCGGATGAAAGTAGGATACTTATGCAAATTTAATACTTGTTAAACCACGTGATAAAACACAACATATATATGATTTATGATGTAGAGATGGTTGACCGTTGATATAATATGATAAGGAGTTAGTCGAGGGTGCGGTCAGATAAATATTAAATTAAAATATAGTCATTATTTTAGTTTAATGCTGCCGACGTTTCGACCCACTTTGCAGGTCTTCTTCAGTGCTACAAAAGATACAAAACATGTTGTAACATGTTGTATCTTTTGTAGCCCTGAAGACGACCTGCAAAGTGGGTCGAAACGTTGACAAAATTAAAATAAAATAATTACTATATTTTAATTTAATATTTATCTGACCGCACCCCCGACTAACTCCTCATATATATGATTTAATTGGTACGATGAAATTAAATTATAAATTTAGCATATTTATTCCCTCAAATTGCCGTTATATTAATAAAAAATATTTCTATATCTATTTTAATGCGGTTAAAACATTTGAGACATTTTGTTACAAATTAATCGAAATTATAACAGGCCAACCATTATAACAATATAATTAAAGAATTATATCATTTACCCTCTGCTTCAACGGTACAGGTAGCAATCCTGTGCCTAACTCACTGAGAAACTCTGCTGTGATATTACTTTAATGTTATTTAATCTTAAATATATTTAAGGTTTGTAAGAATTTAATCGCACATATAAAAAAGAATAATAAAAAAATAGATGTATTGAGCGGCATCTCTATGGGAATTATAATCTACCCTACATTGGTTCTTCTATAATTAACTGCATTTGATTAAAAATATATAGTTATATTTATTTTGGGTAGCGGGGTATCTCTATGGTAGGGCACTAAGCTTCTGGTGCTCATGGCAGAAAAATTATTTATTCTGTTTCATTAGGTAGTAGCTGTGGTGCGACTCTGGGGTAGGGAGACCCTCCTTGGGCACACTCAGCCTCTATAAAGTGGGTACCCTTAATTAAATTGTTGAATAAGGGGGTAAAACATGGTGGTTGAGCGTGATACTGGCCCGATCTCCTCCCTGCACAACCGTAGGCCCTGAAAAAGCACTTTCAATAAATAATACTGAACCCAAGACCCTTCATGGGTTGTAGTGTTACAGGTTTTTTGTTTTTTTATATGTATTTTGAGGATTTTTATCTAAAAACATATTAACGTTTATTCTATATATGAAGTCGATTTTTAGGTCGTAAACAGGTACTTAGGTTCCTAAGAGGCTGTTCTAGGTCTATAATTGTGGCCATACCCTAAGGGAGTTAACACTGCTATAAAGACAGGTGTTGAACCGACTTTCCCTAGTTAGGGAAGACGCCCATGGGGCCATGAAGAGAGCAAGTCCAATAAAATGGGAAGCGACATAAACTACATAGCTAAGGACTCCTGAAACGCTGCTGGGACTGCTGTAGAAGCTACTATTTGTGGCCACTCCTCCTCCAAGTTTTAATACACTACCTTCTCTCCTCGCTAATGGGGTACATGAGAAGAACGTTAGGTGGGCGGTGGCATTGTTATTTACAATCTCTCCCGATCATATATATTGTAGTTTGCATGAGGGAAATGACGTTCGATTTATCGGAGCTATCATATCCTAAACCCCTCTACTGTCACAATATTGATGTGCGGTTATAATAAGAAATTATTATTTTCGTTAATTTTAAATTAAAGCAAACATTTATTTTATTGTGTTCTACTTATCTCTATACTTACTATATTCCATACTTATATCAAGGATAAATATTGTTGCTGTTAGTTCAAAACGTTGTTTGTAACAATTTTCCGTGTTTATTCTATTTGTACTAAATGTGACATTTTTTAGTTTGCAACTGAAATAAGCAGTCTTAGTAGAAAAATAGTATAGGGAAATAAATTTCATAATTATTCTAATAAATCATAAAAAATAGTAAGTTTCTGTGCTCTTCTGTGGTAGAGAAACAAATCAATTTTATGTACGACTTTTTGTACTAACAGTAGTGATATGTTTTTTTAAAGATTTCTAGGAAGCATATAGTACCTTAGATTTTTTTTTTTTTTTGTTTTCTCACTATCAAGCCTTGTGTTCATTGAGGAAGTGAAAAAAAGCTTTGTCATATTAGTGGGAGTGGCTTAACATTTACTAGCGTTAATCTGATTTTGATGACATATTAAGTAATTGCGCCAGTTGATGGCCTTACATTAATTTTATCCGATTCCACATATTCGCTTGACACACCTATAATTCAAAAATCATTCGTTCTGGTCCATATTTTGAGTAAAAAATATTTAGTACATTTAGAGAGTAGAGAATTAGAGTAAAAATGTTTCAATATTAATTTTATTGAATTCTATTCACAACCTTTCCTAACACCTGCACTAATATGTTATTACAATTGATATCCAGCACCACCCATCCCTACAATTCTCCTCGAAGATTGAAGCGGCAGTGGCCCAGAGACCTTCTTTAAATAAACATATATTGGAGTTTTGGCAATGGCCAAATCCTCCAATCAAGCCAAGTATGTGTATTTATAGCGCCTCTCCTCAGCCTCTATTGGTCCTTAATATCAGTAATACATTGAATCCGAGGCTATGGGATCTCCTTGAGTCCTGCCTTTCCTTCCACGAGTGGGGAGAAGGGCTTGGCTCAGAGTTCTCCTGAGTGAATGGATTCTGTAAATATTGTATAGTATCCATGTGTTTTAGTTGTTATTTTGTTTATATGCATTTGCTTTTGGTATTATTGTTTGCTGTATTGTTTATTTTTATTTATTGTACATAGGGTTTGAATGTGCTCTATGAACGTCCTTAATTGTGACAGATTGTAATATTTCTTGAAGTTGAGAATATTTTAAGAAAGTAGAGAAATAGTCAAATTTAATTATATATATCCCCCAAACATCGAAATTAACAATTAAAAGTTTTTCTCTACTCATCTGTTGTTTAAATTTATTTTCCCTTATTCAGGTAATAGTGAGGAAGCTATACTGAACTACTTGGTTTTTCCTTTTTTTATTTAGCAAAGGTAATGTAAACCACTTGTTGAGAAAATGTGAAATATCCGAGAGGTACAAGTTGATGAAAGGGCACGAACGGAGCCCATGGTATGCAGCTAATTCCAAAGCAGGTCACTATAATGGCTCCAGCAATGACTCCTTCCAGATTGATTTCCTTCTGGAGGAGGTGGAGGCTGGATTTTCCCGCCGAACCCTGGGAAATTGGTTTTGGGCTTTCCTCCAAATCCCCATCGCGCCATCCAGTTCAGCCTTCGTCGACCCTGCCCCACGGTCTACCATCAACTTGTTGCAGATTGAATTTTTCACCTCTTCAAATTTACACAGGAACACTTTGCTGTATGGTATCTTTTTTCTTTTGCATGTTGTTACAGTAACTACTTTTTTTTTTTTTTTATCGTAGGTTCACTTTTTCTTTGTGAGCTGGTAATTGAAGTTTACCAAGGTTTTTATGTTTTCTTTACCCCTCCCCACGGGTTTCTACCCCCTCCAATCACCTTTATTTGTTGTTGATTTTGTGATTATCGAAAAGTGGATATTGGAGGCTTGATAACAGAAATTGCTTTTTGCTTGCAGCTTAATATATATCCCAAGTAGATTGCTTTTTCTTTGTGAATTAATTTCTCCAATTAAAATTCAATTATGTATATATATATATATATATATTAAAACGATTTAGTACGTTGTTAGAAAATGTAAATGAAATTTTCTCTGTTTGAAATTTACATTAAACAAAAGTACTTGTTAATTTTGTTCCTAACGTATCTTTGAAATTGGAACTAAGGTAGTAACTGAATTCTTAGTCATACAGATGTACTTTTCTTGACTTGTCTCTTCATAGTGAATTTTGTTCATAATTTGAATTTATTTATTGATACTCCTTCCATAATAAACTTCATAACCATCCCAACCCTCTTGTTTCTAACCTTACTTCCTATTCAATTCCTTATAACCCTCCGAGGCGTCTGAAAAGAAGATGGCCTCGTAATCTCCTAATATAGACATATTATTAGAGTGCTACCAATGGGTAGTTTCTCAACATTTGTTTCATGTCATTATATTCATGTGCGAATTTACTAGATGTATTTTTTGTATACAGTTGTAAATATCATATAAATAAATAAATAAAAAAATAATTATTGATACAAATGAACCTCAATATTTGTTAGCAAATCCTATTATTAAATTGAATTTATGTAAATTTATTATTTATATGAATTTAGTTAAATGTTATGGAATTTAGTTGAATGTTATAGAGTTTAGTTGAATGTTATGGAGTTTAGTTAAATCAAATATTCCAGCATGCTAGGTTTTTGTATTTTTTTCTAGGCAGATATGTTTCAAACTTTTTGCCAAACTGTGCAGTTGATCTAGAAAATCCCCTTGCCTCGTGAGAGGTTGAGAAATCCGATAGTTCGGGTATTTTATCATTTTAATGATAATCACGATGGGAAAAAACTTCCTTAAACTGGCATCTTTAGAGGTTATCGACCATCCTCAACTCCACTTCTCAATGGTGTGCTTCCTGATAATCTGTTTCCAACTATTGCGTTTATTCGCATTCCTCACTCGGAAATTCTCCAGAAGTCTTGCCTAGCCTCCTAGCTTGTAACTGTACTCCGTATCATCTTCAAGCTGTACAAGATTGAGAGGCATCCCTACTGCCATGACCTGCTTCGCCTTGTGTGGTACATTCCTGTAGGCCTTAGTTACCTGCTGCAGAACCGTTATTTTTATCTTTGCCAACCAGTTCTTTTGTTTTTATGGGAGATTGCAATATCACGTGGGGTATGCATATCTTTGGAGAACAAGGAACTCCTTACAAGAAATACATCAGAGAGTAACACGGTGATAGAAGTGTACGCATCTAGTTTGGACTTGTTTTGATTGAACTGGAGCCAAAGTTTATCTCAGGAAATCAAGTTCACGAAGAATTATATTCTCATTTTTGTCACAAACCTAATTTTATTCATTCCCAAAATATTATTATTATATCTGTCAATTATAATGATAATAAAATATTATTATTATTAATATATAAGAGACGGCTCTTTTATATTGAAAGTAGTTAGAACTAATCTATTGAAATCCCCTCTTACACATTACTCCATGAGAAATAAGTGCCGTAATAATACAAAAAGGCCTATTTGTTCATTGCGTCTATCATTTGAATTCATTAGCAGCACTGTTGAATGAACTTAGACAAGGGACTGTTTTAGTAGGATCGAAATTATCATTTTCATCTGAGATAATATCCAGTTATTATACTTTGGCAAACTTGTTTGATGTCGGTTCGCCTAATCATTCTTTGAATCTAATTTGAAGTTTCGTGACACGAAAACTCCATTTCTATGCCCCAATTTATAATGACTTTGCAGATTTCTGTTCTCTTGAGTATCCGCGCCAGGAATGAATTGTGCCATTGAGAAGTTTAATGACTTCTAAATGTGTTATAGGTTTCGTCTGCTATAAACTTTGAAACGAATGTTAGTTTCTCCAGTTTTCACAAGTGAAGTTTAAACAATACAAATATAGCATTAAGTCGATTAGTATAAGTATTTGAATTGTAAGAATAAAATCAGCTAGCTTTTTTTAAGTTAAAAAATTTTAATCATAAGAAAGAATTCATCAAAGAATTACACTCCGCGTTACAAAACCATTTTTATCGAATTATTAACATCCGTTTAAAATTTTGTAAATAGCTTCATCTTATCATTAGGTACAACATCCTTATGTACGAAAATTTTCATAAATTAAGCTGTTTAACGTCAAATTAAATAATTTAATTGGCTATTAAGAACTGATTAACACTCATTTGCTTTCCACTTGAATCTTAAGATCATCCGATAACAAAATCTAGAAAGAAAGTGGTCTTTTACATCAACAAAAATATTGGGTCTTTTATCATTCATAACCTCGTTATTTTGACAAGTTAGGAATGAAGGTCACGCCAAACGATCCAATATTTTTTAGGCCACTTTTATTTTCTATTTCGTTATCAAACAATTAAGATAGCTTGATCGTATTAAGGTTTATCACAAAATTCACATATTTTGATCACACAAATTGATCGTAAGTGATGCAACCGAAAAGCAAATGGGTATTCATGAATTATTATAACCTAATTAAATAGAAAAAGTTTACCAAGTTTCAATAACATTGAAAACGTCCCAATTCTGTAAATTTTCGTAAATACAAAAGTTGTAGGTTGCGATGAGATGAAGCTATTCACGAAGTCTTTAGCGGATGTTAATAATTCGATAAAAAAGGCATTAAAAATTTAAACAGAGATTTACAGATACCTGTAGTGACGAAACAAAATGTGCTGACGTTTCTATGGGTATAAATAGAACAAATACTGGGAAAAAGTGTTCGAAAGAAAGGGTGAAAATGAGAGACTTAAATAAAAATCATGTCATGTCTTGTTAGTTGCCTTGTTCGATACTGCTTAAGTCCAGTATTCTGAGTATAATGAAACATGTTCATATTCACTTCTATTTTTTGACAGTTGAGTATGTTAAAATTGTTATAAGAAAAAGAGGAAGTTTTTTTTTTTGAAAATATGGTCTGAAAATTTTATTTTATAAATTATAAAAATGTTATATGAAAAAAAAAATATGTTTTTTCTTTATCGATATATGTAATTCGTTATTATTTTTTTTATATCATCATTAAAACATGTCAGTTTTATCTACGGAATAAAACAATTTATTCTCTTTAAAAAAGTTGGTATTTAATAAAAAAAAAATTAAACTATACATTTTAGAAATTGCTAAAACTATTTCTACTTGCGGAAGAGGCTAGATTGGCCGGTCCAGTGAATGGGGCCCGAGGTGACGTCAAAGACCGACATGTTCAATGTTTCAGGGGATCAATAGGGCTGAGGAAGGTGGGGTGGGGTAAACACCACTCTCACCTACTTGAGAGCCGTCCTTGAGGTACCCCTTGTACGGTACAAGTTGTATCCCAGTCGGTATCTTCAGAGGTGGGTACCTGCTCCTTCAGTCGCACTTCGTCATGGGAAGCACCAGGGTAAAGGAAGGAGACCGTCCTCCCTGCAGGGCATGTTGCCTTTCAAAAATAATTCGAATAGTTGTAGAATCAATGTTATATTTATTTCATTTTCTGGCTGAGGTATATATATATATATTTAAACTTAACCACTTAATTGGGAATAAGGTCACTTAATTATTATTTAATAAACTATTGAAGCACCCTACTAGCTACTGAGTAGCTTAATATATGTGCTAGTGGACGGTGCTGAGACTGTCGGTGTGTCCCTGGCCTAATCGAAGCTCTATTTTTTAAAATTCTAGCTTTGAAGAGGATCCTATGGTTGACTAATAAAAAGAAAATACCGGGATCGAAACGTTAATAAACAGAAGAAATGAACATTCAATAGTTTATTAAATAATAATTAAGTGACCTTATTCTCAATTAAGTAGTTAAGTTTAAATTTAATACTCAAAGGTCGATTAAGGAAAAGTTGTATATATATATATATATATATATATATATATATATATATATATATATATATATATATATATATATATACCTATATATATGAGGTAACACAACTATTCCGCATGAAATATATAAATAATAGAATTGAGCGATCCATGATTATTTACATACCTTAGTATTTCCTGATAATAATTTTTCGTGGATACAAATTTTGAAAGTATTATAAAAATAGGAAATGATATGGAATACCTGCATTATGAAGTACTAAATTTATGTTATGTATGTATGGTGAAAATAATTTTTATTTTATTAATTTTGGATAGTTCATTTATTTATGTTCATTAATTTGTGACGGTCTACATTTTTTTTTTTAAATAAAAATCGACTCAAATCTATTTGGGCAAACGCCTCACAGATTCATGGTTCGGCGAAAAAGATATATTTATAAAGACTACAATCGTTTTAGTCCAAAACCTTATGTATAATAGCAGACGTTCTCTGGTACATAAATAAAAAAAACTGTACACCGACTTGGCCAATATCGACCAACACATACTCTTCATTCCCTATTCCATTATGAACTAAACGGATATAAGAATAGACTTGTAAACGACATGGTCACGGATGGCATGCCTATCATAAGGCGACTAAAAAGGAACTGGATATGGGATCCCCTTTTCGAGATTAAGGAAGTAAAACAAAAGGAAGAGTTGCTGTTGGGAATTATTCCTAAAAATCCATTTGTTTGTCACTGACTGCCAGCACATTTACTTATTGCTTATTATCAGTCACTGGCGCCAATGGAA